TCCGGTGGATGTGATGGTGCAGTAGCTGACATCAGGACCATTGAGCCGGGAGTATTTCATGTCAGCTTCCACAACCACAATGGTGAGATGGGACGACATAAGACTCTATACAGTTTCAGTGTTTAATGTGTGTGTGCGTGTGTGTTTGTGTAGTGGCTGATCAAGTGATGTCCAGACCTCGTAAAGTCAAGAAGTCAGTTCTTCAAATGAACGTGCTGGAGGAGGAAGAGGGGGAGGGGGAAGAGGAGGAGGGGGAGGAGGGGGAGGAGCTGTGGTGGGAGTGTGCATCTGAAACCGAAGTACCTGATTCAGGTCATAGGCTTACCCAGATTGAGGTGTGCAACGTTCCAGAGAAAGTAACTGAAAAGGTTTTGAAGCGATACTTCGAAACAGCCAAGGCAAACAGTTGTGATAAAGCTGTTTCCGATTGCACAGAAAGTCAGGGAAGGTGTTTTCATTGTGACCTTTCATGACCCTGAAGGTAGTGAATATACTTATTGTAGCACTGAAATAATGCTGTGCTTGTTCTAGTTGCAGCCAAAGTGATGTCCAAATCTGAGCATACCTATAGGGATGCTTGTCTGAGATTGCAGTATGTACGTCAGACATCAATTGAGGGGAAAGGTTCGCCTAACTCCGAGGAACTTAACCAGATTGAGGTGTGCAACGTTCCAAGGAATATGAGTGAAAGAGTGTTGAAGAGATACTTCGAAACAGCCAAGGCAAACAGTTGTGATAAAGCTGTTTCTGACTGCACGAAAGTCAGGGAAGGCACTTTCGTTGTGACCTTTCACGACCCCAAAGGTAGTGAACGGTTTCTGAATATTAGTCTGTTTACTCGTGTTTGTTTTATACTGCAGTTGCAGCAAATGTGATGTCAAAATCCGAGCACATGTACAAGGATGCTTGCCTAAGTTTGCAGTATGTTCGTGGGCCGTTGAAAACAGACTACAAGAAAAACCAGTTGCTCGTTTGCGGCCTTCCCCAGGGGTTAGAAAAGGATGAATATGAAGTCATCATTTCCGATTGTTTGGAGATGGAGGAATCTGAATTTGAAATAGTTATTAATTATGACTCGACAGCTACAATAAACTTTGGGAAAGACTTCTCATTTAGAGGTATATAGTAAATTACTAGTACTTTGCAGTGGGCATGATAGGCATTATGACCTTTTGTTTCAGAGCTCCAAATAACGAGGAACAAAATTGCTGCCAAAGATATAGATGGACACTGTTGTGACCGTTGAAATGGTCAAGGATGCCAAACTGAGCATCCATGTGTACGACATACCATCAGGACTGTGTGATGAAGAGTTTCTAAGGGTTGTACTTCAGTAAGCCAGAGAGGTCTAGAGGTGGCGAAATAGAATCAATGACGGTTCTTGGAGAAACAGAAGCTATCATCACTTTTGTTGACCCAAAAGGTATTTCTTTTCACCGATGATTGAGATCACACACTGTATGCTAGATCTATGCTCACAGTGTAGTGTCGGCGTGCATGCGCAGCGAGGGGTTACTGTAGTTGTGTGTCTGTCTGTCTGTCTGTCCGTTACCTGACATCTTACTTCACGAGCCATCAATCGCTCCACAAACAATACCACGTATTGAGCGTCGGGTATAGGTCAAAAAATATGTAGGGTGTTCTCTGAAACTGCTGCGTTACGGCGTGAAACACGAGCGAAAATGCCAATATGCAAATATAGGGATGGCTTACCTCGGTCTGATCCGCTTGCTCTGCGTACCTCGGAGGCACCAGAAGTTGCAACACAGGGCGTATTATCCTCTCTCGCATGCTATGTATCTAGTACTGTAGTGTAGCTAGCCCGTGTCAGACTCCTCGAGCTGGCAAGACGGTAGTAAAACTAAACCCAGCCCATCAATTAGTGGTACCACGCATGCGTTTACTTACGCGTGCGTGTAGTGCGCCAAGGGTTTCACTTTAGTGCTTTTCATTACTTGGGCAGTGAGTGGACCTAAGGGTCTCTTGATACAATCCTGTTGACCGAAGTTTGTGTGCGTGCTTGTGCATAAGAGGAATTATACTTGCATATTGTAAACATACATTTTACAGGGAGAGCATATACTGCTATTGGTTCTGCAGGTATATACAATAGGGCTAATCATGAGCATTGTAGTTAGACCACGTGCTGCCATTTTTGCATGCATGTGGCTTTTTGGCGAGGTCCCATGAAGCCAGCGTTGGTTCACATTATGGAAACATTTTACATACACACACAAACTCCTGCAGTTATTCAGCCAGTGCTTCAGAAAAACCACGCTTCATTTTTGGGGCCTGACGCAGTCCTTGAAGAGCACGATGGAAGTAATAGAACAGCATCAGATTCGGGCTCTATGACAGAACCACTGGAATTTTCACTCGATCCTCTCCTGCTCGAATCCATCAATCTAAATCCTGGTGCCCTAGAACAGAGCTTGTCAAAGCATCAAGTAAAGTTCACGGCTGATCAAGAGAAGGGAGCACTTGTGTTTTCACCGACAGGTAGGCCAAACCCAAACTGGCGTCAAGAGTGCGAAAGCCTTGTGCCTCAGTACCTGACTCAAATGACAAAGGAGTCTGTGCATGTTCCGAAGGAAGCCGCTACGGAAGCGAGAAGTTTACTGCAGAGTCTAAACAAGTCGAATCCGAGTCTCAGTTTCAGTTTAAGCAGCGATGAAACTGAAATCGCCATAGCAGGTGAGACCAGCTCCGTCGCTTCTGCCAAAGTAGCTCTCAACAGCCTCTGCTCTGACTTGGTTACACATTGTATTGAGAGTGTTTTCCTTTCCCCGGAAGATTTCGACTATTTGGAGCAAGTCAAACAACATGATTTGCCACCCAACGTTGAGTGCACCTTTGACATAAACATGTTTTAAACTTACTTTGAAGGGTCCTAAAGGGACTGTAATGAGGCTCAAAGATTCTGTACCAAAAATAGCCAATTACTCAGAAACTTCTGTGTTTCTTGTCCCGCTTATAATTGAGTTCTTCAAAACGCAGACTGGCAGAGGTAAGCTGGAGAAATTTCTTCAAGAGCGCAAGTGCCAGTGTAGCGGTGCACTTTTCTGAGGCTTCTGCTCCCTGTCTTTATTTTCTCTCAGACCGGAATGAGCTTGAAATGAACGATAAAGTCAAAGCCATAACTAAACAGTTGCCTGTGTTTGTATCGCATCAAACCATCATGATACCAGATGTTATTGCACCCATGCTCACTGACATGAATGAGATTTATACAACGTTGTAAGAGCAATGAGAGGAAGTATGAAGTTCTGATAAAGCAGCAGGTCATGAAGTCTCAGTTGCTGGGTTTAGCATCCAAGTGACAAGTTGCGTCGCTGACTTAAAAGTATTTTTCAAGGAGAAATCTGCTCCTCCAACTCCACTTGAGGAACAGGTAAGCGGTCTTGTTGCGAGATCCATTGAGCGCAGTCCCCATGGCTTGCAGAATTGCCTTCGTTCTTTTGATGGGTTGTTGCATTGCGACACGGTGAGAGAAATAATTCGATTTGCACCCTCACACCATCTCACCCCTGGGTGGGAAGAGAAGTGCAGGAGTGTCTTGTTTGAATTCATTAAAGGTAATGTGGTTGAGCAGAGCAGTATGTTTCCAGAGAAGGCTTCAGCAGAAATATCCCACATTCTGCTGAATTCACAACAGGCCGATCGTACTTTTGTTAGCATTCAAACTTCAGCCACATCTGTTTCATTTGCCGGATCTCCACACACTGTCAAACCTACTGAACAGAGGATTATGCAAGTTTGTTCCAATCATGCCTTCACAAATGAAGAACTACCACTTGAACCAAAACTTTTTGAGTTTGTGAGTCAGGTGAAACTGCACTCCATGAAGAGAAAGTTCCATGGTGTCAACCTCAAGCTGGTAGATGAGAGAAATTCGCTCACCGTCTCTGGATTAGCCAAAGAAGTGAAGGAAGTTGTGGACTATGTACCACATCTTACAACTCGTATGATATCAGTTCATGTCAATAATATACGAAAGGCTATTTTCCTGTATCTTAGCTCAGAGAAAGGAAGAGAAAAACTCGTAAGTTTTATTCGGGGGAAACGCGGCGAAAATTGTGCAGTCTATATGTCGCCTTCCTCGGCCACATTGTCACTGCTGTGTACTCACAAACACCGGACTGTTGCAGAGAAGATTGCTAAAGCAATTGTTGATTGTACTTTCACGCAAACCTTAAAAATCCCACAACTAATCCAGCCGTTTTTTCCCGAACTCTCAGAGTTCACGAAGTTTGTGGAGGATTTTCAGGGAGAAATGTCGGCAATGATAGCGATTGAAGGTAGTGATATAGTGGTCACAGGATTTAGAGAGGAAGTTGGTAAGGCAGTTAACGTTCTTTCAGTAATGGTAAAGGAAAAAATGGATCATTTCAAGCCAGTTTCGGTACAAATTGAACACATAGTTGCTCAGTGTATGCTGAAAAATCAAGAAGACTTAGAATTTTGGGCATCAAGTTTGCATGTGATGTGCAAGCTTAAGCTACAGGGAAGTAAACCCACAGTCATTGTATCTCCCACGAAAGATACGCAGCCCGATTGGAAGAAAGATTGTGAGCGACTACTTTTGTCCTATCTCGATAATGAATATTTTAAAGAGACAATTACATTTCCTGAAGAGGCGGCAGAAGATGCTAGCGATATCCTTGTTTCAACTAAATATATAGTTTTTGAGATTGGAGCTGATGGAAATAATGCTACTTTAGCTGGTGAAAAGGGTGCTGTTAAGGAGGTTAAGAAACAGATCCATGATATGTGTGCCCAAAAACAAATAACAAGGAAAATTGAACTGGATCGTCGAGAGTACGATTTTTTCACACAAGTCGTCCAGAAAACGTTTAAGAGCATAACTGCTTTCGAATCATCGGCAGAAAAACACACCATAACCGTTGCTGGAAGTATGAATGATGTGAGTGCAACGGTGAAGTCGATAAAAGAAGCTGTCCGGCATGCCGTCGTCCCAGTTTCAGTGGACGCAGTTATGGTGCGATTCATCGACACCGAAGGTAGACAAGAGTTAGAAGACAAGATGCATGACGCAGGCGTTAGAGCAGCTATTCACGTCAAAATGTACGTAACGCCGCCTACACTTGAACTCCTCTGCCAAGAGCAATTGGTTCAGCATGTTAAAATTTTGCTGAGAGTATTCCTCGGCATATAACCGCTGTTAACATGGTGCTTTCTGAAGCCTTTACTAAGCCTCCCTTTTCCCAGGAACTCATGAAATATAGCCAAGAACTTACCACAAGTCATCATGTCCTAATTGAAACAAGGCGGGATGGACTACTCATTTGTGGGTTCAAACAAGCGGCTGGGGAAGTGCAAATGTCTCTTGAAAAGTTTATAAAGAATAAGTGCAAGTCCAGTCACACATTTGATATTCAGAAGGGAATGTGGCGACTTCTTGTGGCCCAATGAATAAACAATGGAATAAGATTCAAAACGCCTGTCAGAGTAGTGAAGTGGAATATACAGTCCCCAGTGAAAGTGCAGGAGGAGGGTATGTCATTGAATTTAAAGGATATGAAGCTAAAGTGCAAAAAATCGTGAAAGACCTAGATGGTCTCCTCCAGTCAACGCACAAAACCACCATGGCATTAAAAACTGCACAAATATGCCAGTATTTTCTTGAGAAGGGAGAGGGGGCGAGGCAAATACCTGGTATCGAGCAACAGGCTAATGCAGTCATCGAGGTTTGCCGCATTAGGAGCAGCCCACGAGGTAAGCCCAAGTCAAAAAATAGCGCTGCATCTAAGATTTCGGAACAGTGCAGTGCTCTGGTAATTGATGCGAAACACATAATAATACACCTGGGAGACATCACTGGATTCCCAGCAGACGTCATTGTTAACGCTGCCAATGAAGACTTGAGGCACATCGGCGGTTTGGCGTATTCCATTCTGAAGAAAGGAGGAAAGGAGATACAAGATGCGTCGGACCGCTACACAAAAAGCCACGGGAAACTCAGCGCTGGAGATGTGTGGCTCTCTACAGTCGTTGGCAGACTGCCATGTCTAGCATTGATCCACGCAGTGGGCCCTCGGTGGAAGAAAAACCCAACCGATAGAGATCACCTCAAGGAAGCTTGCATCAATTGCCTCACAAACGCCAGAGGTTATAAATCGATTGCACTCCCTGCTATTAGTACCGGTATGTTTGGTTGCCCGATGGACCAATGTGCAGATGTGATGGTATCATCCACAGTCGAATTCTGTAAAACTCAAAGACACGCTCCTCTCGATGAAATCAATATCGTACTTTTTAAAAGCTCCGACGTGCCACCTTTTATTAAAGCACTTGGAACTCACCTGCTAGCTCAGAATATAAAAAGGAAAATCGCTTCCATCACTTCGACACGCAAGTTTACCAATGCCAGTCCCTCAACAGACTTATGTGGAAGAGGGAGAAGAAAAGGAAGAGCAATTTGAACAAATCAAGGCTGGATCTTCACGTCTGAGTTGTGTGTCTATTAAGGAAGGTGGTCTTCTAGATGCTAAGGTAAGACTGCATATATAGTATTATGGCTGTATACACGTAACTGTTCAATGTTTCTTAGGCGAAGATGTATGTGAATTCAACAAATGGCAAAATGGATCTGTCTGGAGGTGCAGTTGCCCAGGCGGTATCCAGGGCTGCCGGTCCGACTCTCCAAGCAGAGTGCACCAAGAAAGCTCCCCTTGCAGCTGGTGAAATAGCCGTCACTGATCCAGGAAATATGCAGTGTAAATGCATTATCCACATCAACTGCCCCGGATATAATAAGAGTAGTTCGCAGTCCGAGGAGGTGAGCCGATTCTACTATAGGTATTGGTGTAATTAATGCTTATCTCTGCATCTTTTCAGATGCTGAGGACGATAATGAACAAGTGTATGAGTGAATGCGAAACACGACAAGTCAGCACTATTGCCTTCCCTGCAATTGGTACTGGAAACCTTGGCTTTCCAGTAGCCACCTCCGCTCACGTAATGGTGGACGAGATATGCAATTACCTCCAGAAAAACAAATGTAAGTCCCTCAGCACTGTGTACGTCATGATTTACAAAGACAGCGCTATGCACCGCACGTTCTCAGACGAGTTAGAAAATAGAAAGCGAAGTGAATTAGTTCCCATGAAGAAAAAGAAGAGGTGGTTATTTCGGGGACGTCGTGCTGCGTCACCAGATATTGCACCCCCAACTGAGCTCACGTCTGGAGGTGCAGTGAAACTCACCAGCAGTCATTCTCTTGATTTCGGGAATGGTGTCTCTATGGAGATCTTAAAAGGTGACATCACCCAAGAGAGCACCAATGTTATTGTAAACACGACAAATGAAAATATGGTTTTGGATTCTGGGGTGGGTTTGGCCCTAGCCAAAAAAGCAGGGAAAAGTTTGCAAGATGCCTGTAATGCATTAAACCCTGCGGATAAGAAGGGATTAAGGGACGGTAAGGTGATTGAAACTAAGGCTGGTAATCTTCAGTGTAAACACGTTATCCACGTCATGTTTCGAAAGGATACCTTTGTTCAAGTAGTGACTTCCTGTATTGAAAAAGCCCGCGAGCTGAAGCACAATTCAATTTCGTTTCCCGCTATTGGAACGGGCCAGGAGAAATACCCTGCTGATTCTGCCGCAAGGGACATGATCCAAGGAATGAGGCAGTGCAAGACGGGCTCTAAAGTGAACGTTAGAATAGTTTTATTTCAGGAAGAGGTGTACAGTAAATTTGTGGAAGTGCTAGCAGGCGATCTTCAACCAAGCCCACTGCCACCTCCTCCTCTTCCTGTAGTAGGGTCTGCATGTAAACCCAAAACACGGCCTACTACATATGAGACAACCAAAGTCAAGACCTCCATAGTTGACTATGAAATAGTAATACTTGGAGAAACTCAAGCGCACGTCGATGCAGCTGAAAAGAGCTTACGCGATTTAATCGGCAAGGAATTCAAGACGGAGAAGATAGTGGATAAAAAGATAGGCTTACTCAGAGAAAGTCAAGTCAAAGCGTTACAAAGAGATGCCTGTAGTATGCATTTGATATTTCGTATTGACCGCAAATCAAATACCATTGAATTTGAAGGAAAAGCGACAGGTGTGTATGAAATGAAGATCAACATTAAGGATGCATTGAGCCAAGTAGAAAGGGCAGAAGCCCTGATGAAAACAGTGCAGTGGAAGAGGCAAGATTCTACCACCGGCACTAGCTATGATCCCCTCATGAATCTTGAAATTGAAGATAATAGCAACAAATTGAGTCACACTTTCAAAGATGATGTGAGTGGTGAGCACTTCACTGTCGATTATAACAAGATGGAAGAGACCGATCACACTCTGGGAGATAAAACCTGCAAAGTCGTGAGAGTTACAGCTGGTGAGTGCATACTGTTGTATGAGTAATGTAAGCGTGTTAGCACTAGCATGGATAGCTCAGCGTTTTGGACAGTTTTCCGGGAAGGGGGTAGAAAATCGGTTCTTTGAGAAATAATTTAGGGGGGCACATGGTATTCCCAATGATAGTGTTCTCATGATTTGTGCCATAATTCAGGGCATTTTTAGTGGGGGGTGGGGGCAAATTTTGCTCCCTCGCCATCTCCTGATACTGTTGTATAATTATCGTAACGTGTACAGATAATGGCCTACCCAGAGGACTGGGATCCTATGACGGATCCAACTACTAACAAAGTGGTTTCACTACGTGTGTTTGTTCTTGCACCTACCAGCAAAGGATACAAGTTTGCCCTGGGAGAATTTGACAGGACCATGAAATCGAAATACAGTACCATTGTCAAGATCGAGCGTATTCAGAATCCTGTTTTGTACAGGCAATACAGCGCTAAAAAGAAGCATCTTGATTCTCACAACCCCTCAGGCCTTCAAAACGAACGCTGGCTCTTTCACGGAACCAAGGAAGCTTCTATCACCCTTATTAACAAAACCAATTTTAATAGGAGTTACCGCGGACAAAATGGTATGTATTAGTAGCAGAATTATAGGTAGATTATTATTTTTGTTACTATTATATATAGGCACAGCGTATGGCCAGGGCTGCTACTTTGCTCGTGACGCCTCCTACTCCAATGGATATGCCTCACCAGATGCACTAGGCCAAAAGTATATGTACGTTGTACGTCTTCTTACAGGGCAATTCACAACGGGCAGCACCGCAATGATTGTAGCACCGCCCAAAGATCCCAGTGATAAGGCCGTATTGTTCGACTCGGTCGTCAATAACACTGCCACACCTACCATCTTTGTGGTATTCTATGATGCCGATGCGTACCCTGAATATCTCATCACTTACATATAGATTTCTTCTATACACAATATTTTGCAGAATTAGTTTGTATTATAGGTCATGATTACTAAAGTAACAAACAGTGCTAGAGGTAGTAAGTGTGTGATGATTGTACTAGGCTAGGCTCTATACATTGTGTGTTAACCTCTCAAAAATGTATATATCAGACAGTACTTTCGTCAAAACTTTCATCAGGTACTATTCCCTTTGCAGCTAAGTCTTCTTTAACTCTCTGTAGGTAGGTGGGATCAGGGTAGCCGTACCTGAGGAGTAAAGTAGTGCGTGCAGTGAAATTGAGCCCATGTAACCACCATCAGCTACTCACGGTCCTCCATACATGCTGGTCTTGTGGTGGATATCGTTCCATACTACAGTGTTCTGGTCTCCAGTCGTCACTGATGTCCCTATCGTGAATGTCATCCTGGCTTGGAATGCCTTCTGCAGCAACTGGAGAATAGTAATCATCGCTACACCCACACATTGTGACAGTAAATCCACAAGGAGAACAACAACAGCACGATGCAATTGACATACGTGGAAGACTTCCCATCCTTCACGGTTGCAAGGTAGATATGCAGTCCTGCATGTTCCAGTGTAGGGTTGTCCTGGGTTGGGGTGTTCTTGACCTTGCACTCCACCCAGAATTTGGTAGTCGATTTGAATGGTATCACAACCCTTGTGACCAGGAAGAGAGTGTTGCAGTTTCTACAAGTAATGAGAGAGATTATGACCAACACCTATCACCTGTTACGAGCATAGATACCGTGTGTTTCATGGATCCCCCAGGTGGTTGTGTCCCAGTAATGGCACGCAGAGGGGGTCTTACAGATAGGACAGTAGGGGTCATTCTTCAGGGACCTTTCTATGCAATGCTTGCAGAAAGTGTGGTCACACTTGGTGCTCACTGGTGACAAGTATTTCTCCAGGCAAATGGGACACTCTGCAATAGAGAGAATTAAAACCACTTTTAGGGAACAAAAACCCCGTGTAACCTTTTTGTCAGTGCTGTCTTTCCTGGTATCTGTATAATCCAGTATATATGATAGTTTGGCAGATAAGGGGTTACATTACAAACCATGTGGGTTGCTGGTAGCTCCAGCGGAATAGTCAGGAAGTGTAGGGTACTTCACATCTGGAAGGCCACTGCAGGATTCTTCTCCGGCCATACCTCTTTTTTGTAAACAAACTGTACACATGGCAATCACAACAGAAACTTAGAATATCTAATTGAGTTACCCTTCAGTATCTCAGAGGCCACCTCTTCCTCCCCTACTTCCACGCCACACAAGGCTTTGACCAGGTCAGCCAGAGTTGCTCCAGGAGGTGCGTGCCCCCTAAGCCATTTACTCACCCCCATCTCCAGAAGGACAACTCCATCTTTTCTACGCTTCATTAAACTCATGATGTAGTCGTTTGGCACGCCAATCTCTGTCAGAATCAGCTTCCACTTTGGAGCAGCACGTCTGAGCAGAGGCATGATCCAGGACATGTCATCTGGATACAGCATCACTTCTGTATAGAAAAAATAATGGAAGCTGTGTCGAGATATCTTCTGCAATATACTCACCTTCAATAGGCAGTGTTTTCCCCTCTTCATTCATGTCTGGCTTGCCTGGGTGGATTTTGTGGGTGTGAGCGTGAGTGCTTCGCCCCAGGTGTTTCTTGGAAGGTTGTAGTTTTTCTTCAAAGTGGCGTGCAAAGCAGGAGTGGGTAGGCCCATCAAGGATGACGATGCGAATGTCAGAGAGGATCGGGGAAGGCTTAGTGTATTTGAAACCCAGGATTGTGTCGATAATGCATTGTGCTACAAGATCCTTGCTGACACCGTAGATTCCACAGCTGATGGCTGGTATGACAATGGAAGTGGCATGGTACCACTCTGCTGCGCTGAGTATGCTACCAATGACTTTATTCAACCCATATTGACACTGAGCTGGCGAATTTACAGCACCATCAGGACCCACGGCATGAATAACATAGGCGCAGGCCAATCTCCCCCCACCACCTGTCACTGCCACTTCCCCCACTGGTACTTCCTTCCTCTTCGTTTCTCTCATGTATTTGTGGCACTGTTCCTGTAGCTCCCCATTGCTGGCAGCATTCAGTGCTCCAGCCACACCACCACCATGCAAGAGTTTGCCATTGGCGGCATTCACCAGTACATCTGCTTCTTCTTTTACTATGTTCCCTTTCTTGAGAGTGAGTGTGCGGTTGTTAGAGAACTTGATCACCACTGGCCCAGCCACTGCTGAAGCACCACCTGAAGCTGTAGGTGGTGGTTGTAGAGCCTCTTCAAGGAGCTTCTTTGCCTGATCTAGCTGCCTAGTCTGAGAGATGACCCTGACCACCCACTTCTCTTCATCCAACACGAATGCAGTGAACAAGTATGTCTGTTCAAACCTAGCGATCCCTGCCTCCACCTCTTCCTTACTCCGACCAGCAGGAATCTCCACTTTTTCAACCCGAAACGGATTATCATGTGCAAAAAGCTTCCTGTAGGCCCCCTGGAAGTTTGTGATGGCCGTCTCGATTGCTCTCTTTCCCTCCAACCGAATGTGGACAGCACCCTCTCTGGCGTGGTACTCGACACCGGGGATGTCTCCCTCTGGCAGCTTTCGAACCAGAGCCAGTGCATCTGGGTCCAGGCCAGTGAACACGGTGGGCCTCTTTTTATCGCGCAAGTCTGAAGGCGGGGGTGAAGGTGACTTGTGGCTGCTACTAGAACCTTTAGCTTTGTCGCCTGGCCACCGAGGGATTTTTCTCTCGACCTAAGTCTGTTCGAGGATCGTTTTCTCGGCCAGGGTCACCTGGCTTGTAATGACTAGACATTTCGTCTGTAAGAGAAGCTGGGGGAGGACTAAACCTTTTGGAACCGGCACCAGATGTGGTGGTGGGCTCAGGAGGTGAAGAGGTAGGCGCAGCACTTGCTGGATGTCCAGCAGTAGCAGCGGGACCAGGCCCATGTGAGGTAGATGGCGGGCCTGGTGGTCCAGTAGTTGTGGGTGCACTAGGCTCATGTGATGGGTAAAGCAGAGGACCTGGTGGTACATGTCCAACAGTTGTGGGTCCACTAGGCTCATGTGAGGTAGGCACAGCACTTGCTGGATATCCAGCAGTAGCAGGGGGACCAGGCATGTGTGAGGTAGGCAGTGGGCCTAGTGGTCCAGTAGAAGCGGGTGGAATAGGCTCATAAGATGTGTAAGGCAGAGGACCTGGAGGTACGTGTCCAACAGTTGTGGATGGAATAGGCTCATGCGCCACTAATGCCGATGGGCGAAGAGGAGCAGTTGGATCAAACCTGGAGCCAGAGGCGGTGGCAGCTGGTGGATTGTGGCCTACGGGACTAGGACAGGAGAATGCTCTGGGAAGGAGATGAGTGGGCATGCCAGGAGGAGGAGCAACAGGGGCCCCAGAAGGAGTGGTGGACCCTCCAGCATCACAAGCAGCACCCACAGGTTGTGGACTAGAAGACACAGTGGGCTGGGGTGGCTTCCACTGAAGCAAACGTGCATCTACTTCGGCTCGCAGATTGTAGACACTGTCAATGTGTCCTTGGACAGTAAAGCCAGTGTCTGTGGCTTGGAAAAAGACCCCGTGTGCTCCTGCTAGTTGCTTATACCCCCGAACAACTTTTGGAGGAACATTCATCGAAATAAGGGTTGCATGGAGGGTGCCCTAGAGTATAATCAGAGGAATTTGCTGAATGAATACTCTTGACTTATCAGTAGGTCAGTAGGTCAAAACAACAGGCAGATGTTTTAGGGGACATACTACACTCCTCCACTAGTAGGCATAGGAAGCTAGAGAGACTTCATGTGGTGGAACGTGGTTCTATTGAGCATAATAATAATAAAGCCCTCCCTTTATAGTGTGATAAATCACCACTCGGATATGAATGTAGACGAAAATAAGATGCGTACAATATCGCTGCTCCATGGGATATACAACAACTCACCAAATCACGTAGATTCAAAATATGCCCTTTACCCATATCAAGTGTTGGCTCTATTTCACAGGAATGCCCTGAATAAGGGAAACATAATCTCAGCTACGAAACACTACAGTATCGTTCACCTTGCTCACATCTCAGAGTGACTATAGCGTTGGCCGTTCCTTGAGTATTGACGTCTACAATCTCACCAGGTAGACTGGGTCCTACCCGCTTTCTCACATACCACTACAACAGCACATTGTCACAATGAAGGGAGCATGACTAGCAGTTAAATATTGCAAAACACGGGTGTGCAGCTACCTCTTTGTTGGAATTAGTTGGAATCCCAGCGATAAACACCCTTCTGAACTCCGGGCCTCACCTACACCACCACTACCAGTTGCACCAGTGGCCATATCTTTCCAAACTGACCTGGGCGCAGTGAAATAGATTTGACTGCACCTTCCCATTGTTACTTCCCTCACCTTTATACACACTCCAAAAATACCACCGGGCGATTGCCTTTACGGCCGGGGCAAGCGCCACACACAGAGACGAAGAAGAGACGAAGGATCGGATTAATGGGAGTCGAGAGATAAGCGCGGATTGCGGCGAGAGGTGGAGCTCACTCCATTTGACGCGCACCAACAACGTGAGTCAGTCTGGCGGTGCGCGTTCAGTGTGCAGCTTCATTGCTTCTCTCGCAAGAGAAGCAAGCTATACGAAACTGAACGGATTTGGCTAGTAAGAACCTCGAGTGGCGACTCAGATCAGGGGCAGTTATAGCTCAGCAAAATTACAAATATGCATGTCACTAGCTAATCAGACACTATGCCCTTTGCGGCCAAGTACTGTGTGACTGTCTGCAAGTAGGTTGGATCCGGATATCCATATTTGTCCCTATAGAGTGAAAAAGGATACTACTAAACAGCATGGAAGACCCAATACTTACGGTCCCCCAGTGATGCTTGTCTTGTGGTGAATATCACCCCAGATAACTACATTCTTCTCTCCAGTGGTGGCCGACGTCCCTATTTTGAATATCAACCTGGCCTGGAATGCCTTCTCCAGTAACTGAAATGACAGAGCTGTGAAACGTGCATAAATTAGCCTATTGTTTTACCTTCAAAACATTCCTTCCCTCTTGATTGTGAGGCAAGTAGGCAGTCCTGGATGCTCCCTTGTAGGAACATCCTGGATTGGGGTGTTCTGGACCTTGTACACCATTTGGAATTGTGTAGGTGATTTTAATGGTTTTACAACCCGCATAACCAGGAACAGAGCCACCAATTACCTAAAAATTCCACAATTACCCCATTTTAGAAATCACGTAATGTAAGGAACGTACAGTGTGTGTCATGGATCCTCCAGTTGGCTGTCTCCCAGTGATGACACGCAGAGGAGTCTTACATGTACGGCAGTAGGGGTCTCGCTCCATGGCCTTCTTTAGGCACTCCTTACAGAACGTATGGCCACACTTTGCCGTCACTGGGGACTGGCCGCATCCAAACAAACGGGGCATTCTAGAGTAAAATCATTTTTCAGCCTTAGGAAATCATGAAATTTTCAACATGAACTTTATAAAAGGTGTAAATAGGTGAAAAACCACACAGGATATTAATATACCTTTCTTCCATCGAGGTCGTGCTAAAATGAGAAGCACTTCTGCCTTGACCCTGTGCCTTTTGCTCAAAGTGACGTGCAAAGCAGGAGTGGGTAGGCCCATCAAGGATCACGATGCGAATGTCAGAGAGGATTGGAGAAGGCTTAGTGTAGTTGTATCCTAAGATGGTATCGATTACGCAGCGTGCCACAAGATCCTTGCTGACACCAAATATGCCACAGCTGATCGCTGGGAGGACAATTGAAGTCGCGTTGAGTCTTTCAGCAGCTTTGAGAGTGTTGCGAACTGCCTGCTGCACCAGATGCTCACATTGAGCTGTTGAGTGCTTGTAGCCGTCGGGACCCACAACGTGGATGACGTGCTTGCATGCCAGCTTCCCCCCACCCTGAGTCACTGCCGCTTCCCCCACTGGTATTTCCTTACCCCTCCTTTCTCTCATGTATTTGTCACAGTGCCTCTGCAGCTCCCCTCTGCTGGCAGCATTCAGTGCCCCAGCCACCCCACTACCATGCAGTAGACCTCCATTCGCAGCGTTGACTATTACGTCCGCTTTTTCTTTCACTATGTCCCCTTTCTTGAGAGTGAGTGTGCGGTTGTGAGAGAACTTGATCACATTCGACCCAACCACAGCATCGGAAGCAGCAACTGAGGCTTTTGGTAGCTTCTGCAGAGCCTCTTCAAGGAACTTCTTTGCCTGATCGAACTGCCGAGCCTGAGAGATGACCCGGACCACCCGTTTCTTCTCATCCAACACGAATGCAGTGGACAAGTATCTCTGTTCGAACCTAGCGATCTCTGCCTTCACCGCTTCCTTGCTGCAAGTAAGTGGGACTGCCACGTTTTCGGCCCGAAAACGACTATCGTGGGCAAAAACCTTCTTGTACACATCCTGGAACTTGGTGGTAGCCTCCTCCACCTCGCTGTCTCCTTCCAACTGAATATGCACGGAGCCCTCTCTGATGTGGTACTCGACACCGGGGATGTCTCCCTCTGGCAGCTTTTGAACTAGTGCCAGTGCATCTAGGTCCAGGCCAGTGAACACTTTGGGGCTTTCTGCGGGGGACATATCAGCTGAAAGTGGGGATGAAGGTGACTTTGTACTCGGTACTGAGGAGGTGAGAGTGTCATCCAAAGACAGATTGTCTAGGTCTTTACTTGCATGATCGTTTGGCTCGTAGCGGACTATTGGAGACGGCAGATGATCTGTGGGCGAGGATAGGAGATCGTGAAACGTTCCAGCTGCAGGGCGAGCAGTGGAGGGTACACTAGGCTGAGGAGTGGAGGTAGGAGCTGGACCGTACCCAGGAGTTGCCGGATGCCCACTGGTGGGGATTGTACCAGTATGACCTGAAATGTGGCCTGTGGCAGGAGAACTTGCCCCAAAAGTAAGGGGAAGGGTTGGGTCTGATCTTGGACCGAAGCTACTAGGAGCAGAGAATGGAGTGGGGAAAACGTGAGCAGGCATGCCAGGAGGAGGGGCAATCCCTGAAGGAGCCATGGGCCTCCCTACATGACCTGCACCCTCTATAGGCCTTGGAGTAGGAGAAGCTGTAGACTGGTGCTGTATTTGGCAAAGAAGGTGCGAATCTACTTCAGCACGCAAGTTGTTGATGCTGTCAATGTACCCCGACAGAGTAAAGCCATACTGCATGGGTTGGTAAATGACCCCATGTTTTCGTGCTAGTTGAAAAAACTCCAGGACAACTGTATGGGGAACATTCCCCATGGTAAGGGTTGTGTAGAGGGTACCCTGCAAATGAATGAGACAGATGATGGAAATGTGTAACAGTAAAAGTGGGTCCTATAAAAACATCTCAGAACTCACCAAATTATAGAGGGTCACATTACTGCCGGCATAATTTACATTTTGCACTGGAAGAACTCTAAGAGAAAGCCCTGCACATAATTATGTACAATCTCATAGGCTTAATTAACACTGAAGGTTGTACTATTTTACTCACCTTGCTGACAGTGCAGAGTGACTATAGCATTAGCTGTTCCCCCAGTATTGACACTGACTATTTCACCTTGTAGGAAGCCTCTCAACTGCTCCCTCACAAACAGCTACGGTACAAAGAGGTGGACATTTATGTGAGTGCATGGGAGGTGTGCATGGGAGTGTGTGCATACCTCCGAAATAGCTGGAACTCCAGTGACCAGCACTCTATAGAACTCAGTGCCCATTACCATACCACCGCCAGTAGCCATTTTGAGAGAACTGCACCCACACACAGAAAAAGACCTTCACTCACTCGAGCGCCTTCAGACAAACCGGCTAAAACACAACCGATGCAACGTCTTCCAGCCCGTCTTCAAGCGCGCACACAAGTTTTTTTCTAATCCAGTTTGTGGGCGGAATCAAAATGGGGGTGGAGCTGGAGCTTCACTCCATTTGACGCGCACTCTCCCACGTGTGCGCAGCAAGCCAGGTAGCCATGCCTCTCAGTGAGTTTCTGCTGTCCCTGAAGGACAACCCGTACTTTGGAGCAGGTTTCGGGCTGGTGGGGGTTGGGGCCGGCCTGGCCGTGCTCCGTGCCGGCAGTCAGTACGGGATAATGGCGTTCAGACGGTTCTGCATGATCACTCTGGAGGTGCCGAGCAAGGACAAGAGCTACCAATGGCTCCTGCAGTGGATAGCAGCCCACGGGAGCAAGACCCAGCATCTCAGCGCCGAGACCAGCTTCCAGCAGCTGGAGAACGGCAGTGTGAGGACCAGATTCGACTTTGTACCCAGTCCAGGAACACACTTCTTCAAGTTAGTCATCTTCAGACTGCGTGACATTTGAAATCCTGACCCGTCGCTCTAACTATCGCCAGCTACAAGGGTAATCTCATCAAGGTGGAGAGGAGCAGAGAGAAGCAGATAGTTGACTTCAGCACAGGGTCTCCCTGGGAGACTGTGACACTCACAGCCCTCGGGAGAAACAGACAGCTCTACTCTCACATTCTGGATGAAGGTGAGAGAGAGACAGAGAACAGCTCTCAAGCACCATTGGAAATACAGATCCTCATCTGGTCTGTAGCTAGTCAAATCACCTAAACTCTTCTCACTGTTATGCTATACAGTAGGCTAGATTTTGAAACACAATCTGGATTGTATTCCATAGGGTCCAGGTTTGATATTAAAAACCTCTTCTAACGTTCACATTCATTTCTCTTTCTGCTGAAGCCAGGAAGATGGCTCTGCAAAAGATGGAGGGTAAGACCATCATGTACACAGCGATGGGGTCGGAGTGGAGACAGTTTGGCTACCCTCGCAAGAGGAGACCCATTGACTCTGTCATCCTGGACCGAGGCATCGCTGAGAGCATCCTCTCAGATGTCAGGGAATTCATCAGTAACCCACAGTGGTATATGGACAGAGGTATACACAGTCTTTAGGGTATATAGTCAATGGGGTCAATGATGCCTTTGTTCTGTAGGTATACCTTACAGGAGAGGCTATCTGTTGTATGGACCTCCAGGCTGCGGGAAGAGCAGCTTTATGTGAGGTGATTTTCAGCTATATACTGTGACTGAATCGTTCCCTCATCACCCCAGTACAGCTCTGGCTGGAGAGCTGGAGTACAGTATATGTGTGTTAAACCTGAGTGAACGTGGTCTGACTGATGACAGACTCAACCACCTACTGAGTGTGGCTCCCCAACAGAGCCTCATTCTGCTGGAGGATGTTGACGCCGCCTTTGTCAGCAGAGAAGAGATCCCCCAAAGTTAGCTCAGCATTAGTAGCTATTATATGTGTGAGTCTTGGTCAATTGCAGTGAAGGCAGCGTATGAAGGTCTGAGTAGAGTGACTTTCAGTGGCCTTCTCAATACACTGGATGGAGTTGCCTCTACTGAGGCTAGGATTGTCTTCATGACTACCAACTACCTGGAAAGGTCCCTATATTACCAACCACAAGCCCATTTTGTACGTGTATTGAGTCTTCCCTGAGAACCTTCTTCTCTCTGCAGGCTGGATCCGGCCCTGATTCGGCCGGGTCGTGTGGACATGAAGGTGAGGATAGACCACGCCACGGAGTACCAGGTCCAGCAGATGTTCCAGAGGTTTTACCCAGAGCAGCCGCTGGCCAGCTCTCAGGAGTTTGCAGAGAGGGTGGCAGGAGAGGGGAAGAGGGTGAGCATGGCACAGGTCCAGGGATACCTCATGTTCTACAAGTCTGAACCTCATGCAGCTCTGCAAAACTGTCATGATTTGTGGTCACTCTATTGTGTTCGTTACTACGCATGCGCATACGGGGGCGATTTTTATAAGCCGGGCCGGGGGGGCAGGGTCTAATTCGCGACAAGCCCAAAGATGGCGGAGGGCGTTGATCCACTCTCCGAGAGCCTCCAGAAACTGGACGACGAGCTAACTTGTCCTGTTTGCACGGATCATTTCAAGGAGCCGAAAGTCCTGCCGTGTCTTCACTACTACTGCAAGACCTGCATCGCCGATCTGATCAAACGTGCTAAAGGGAGTCCGTTCAACTGTCCGCAGTGTCGCCGCGAAGTGCGAGCAGCCAACAACGATGCTAATAGGTATGACTCATTCCTGATTTTTATGTCCCTGGGTGATTACTTTCCTAGTCGAAGACCGGTGATCGACTGTCAGTGGTCGTGCCGGCAGTCAAGTCTCGCGCCATGTATATGTAGTGTAGTTAACCCTCGGCGCGCATGCGCAGCGAGGGTTCTGTCTGTCTGTGTCTGTCTGGCGTTACTTTACCCCGCGATGAGCTGGCGTTACTTGTGTTACCTTTGATACAGTTAAAGGGTGGGTTTCAACAACACTCCCCAACCCACTCTCAATGTAAACAAAATGAGGAAGTGTGCTAGAGTGTGATACTAGGATTTTTCACTTAAGCTTTTTTCATAAACCCACAGTTTCCCAGCAGCTTTCTTTATGAACCGTATGGAAGAATTATTCTTAGTTATGAAAAAAGCCGACCCGAAAGAGAATGTAAAATGTGAAAGCTGTACCAAAATGCCATCCACTTCTTTCTGCCATGAATGTAAAGAATATATTTGTTCCAAATGTGTCGATGCTCACAGACAGCTGCGTAAATTATCTTCCCATAATATCGAATCCATTGAGTCATTTCATTCAAATGTTAGTAAGGGCCGTGGTACCAATCTTCCAATGGTCCATCGTGATGTAACATGTGCAAAACACATGGATGAGCCACTAAAGCTCTACTGTCGTGACTGCCACAAGCTGGTGTGCCGCGATTGCATATTGATTGATCACAAAGACCACAGATATGCATTTATTACTGATGCTGCTCCACTTTGTAGAGCAGAGATAAGAGATATGGTTATGTCAGTGAAAAAAATATCAGAGGGCCTAAAGGTAACAGCAAAGGCTGTCAGTGATTCTGAAGAGAAGCTAAGTGACCATAGAACTGCCTCCATGAGAGCAATAGATAATGCACTTGATGAAGTCGTTGCCAAAGCTGCTCAGAAAAGGAAGGAGCTGAAGGATATGGCTAACAGTATACTGAACGAGGCCAGGGAGAAGGTTAGTACACAGGAGAAGAATTCCCAGCTGGCAGTGGAGGAGGCTGATAGCCTTTTTGAGTTTATGAATCGAATTCTAGAAAGGGCAACGAATCAGGAGATCCTGAGTCTAGAGAAACAGATATCAGATCAGGTTCAAAGAATGACCAAGAATTATGGCAACACAGCAGAGATGTTTCCGTTACCAAAACTACCAGAGTTGGTGGTTACCTGTGGGAGGGGGTTACAAAGGCAATAGAAACAGAGATATCTGTCACAGAGAAAGGTATGCAAGTTAAAGCGCACCTATAGTACACTCCAATACTAAGCAAGCTCACAGAGTCCTAGTGTGTGTTGTTACTTATGCAATTTCATAAGCAAACAAGTGCCCAGCGCACAGAAATACTGCATGTGATGGTGGTTGCACAGTTAGAATATACATTACAGTGCATACCTGCCAACCCACTGAGAGGGTTCCTTAATCAGGCCCTTCATTTTTGGGACAATCACTGATTTTCCCTGATTTCTGTGACGTCATCACCAGAGGATGTATAAGCTTATACGTTGGTGCATATGTGTGCATTTTGCAGCTATATAGTGGTAGGAAAAGATGACCGCCATATGGGTCACTGTAGAAGCCAGGTGGGGTGCTAGACATCAAAGCGCAATATTGTGAGTGCCTAACATCGGACAGCGCGAGACACAGAAGCAGTAGCAAAATCTGGGGTACCGGGATCCAATCGGTAGAATCCTGGAAAATCTGTGGTAGTTGGCAGGTATGGCAGTGATGCATTGACTTACTAATGAAACTACAAGGTTTGTCTCTTTGCAGGTGTGACTGAAGCCACTAGAAATTTCACCTGCTACACATACACAGTGCACCTCACACATGCCTAGTCCCCCTGCTACTGCTGGACATCTAGCAAGCGCTGTGCCTACCTCACATGAGTCTAGTGAACCCACAACTGTTGGACATGTACCACCAGGTCCTCTTCTTTACCCATCACATGAGCCTAGTGCACCCACAACTGTTGGACATGTACCACCAGGTCCTCTTCTTTACCCATCACATGAGCCTAGTGCACCCACAACTACTGGACCACTAGGCCCGCCATCTACCTCACATGGGCCTGGTCCCGCTGCTACTGCTGGACATCCAGCAAGTGCTGTGCCTACCTCTTCACCTCCTGAGTCCACCACCACATCTGGTGCCGGTTCCAAAAGGTTTAGTCCTCCCCCAGTTCTCTTACAGACGAAATGTTTAGTCATTACAAGCCAGGTGACCCTGGCCGAGAAAACGATCCCCGAACAGACTTAGGTCGAGAGAAAAATCCCTCGGTGCAGGCGACAAAGCTAAAGGTTCTAGTAGCAGCCACAAGTCACCTTCACCCCCGCCTTCAGACTTGCGTGATAAAAAGAGGCCCACCGTGTTCACTGGCCTGGACCCAGATGCACTGGCTCTGGTTCAAAAGCTGCCAGAGGGAGACATCCCATGGTGTCGAGTACCTCATCAGAGAGGGCGCTCCTGCATTCTCAGTTGGAGGGAAGGAGAGCAATTGACACGGCCATCACAAACTTCCAGGGGGCCTACAGGAAGCTTTTTGCACATGATAATCCGTTTCGGGTTGAAAAAGTGGAGATTCCTGCTGGTCAAAGTAAGGAGGAGGTGGAGGTCGAGATCGCTAGGTTTGAACAGACATACTTGTTCACTGCGTTCGTTTTGGATGAAGAGAAGTGGGTGGTCAGGGTCATCTCTCAGACTAGGCAGCTAGATCAGGCAAAGAAGCTCCTTGAAGAGGCTCTGCAACCACCTACAGCTTCAGGTGCGCCTTCAGACTTGCGCGATAAAAAGAGGCCCACTGTGTTCACTAGCCTGGACCCAGATGCACTGGCTCTGGTTCGAAAGCTGCCAGAGGGAGACATCCCTGGTGTCGAGTACCTCGCCAGAGAGGGTGCTGTCCACATTCGGTTGGAGGGAAAGAGAGCAATCGAGACGGCCATCACAAACTTCCAGGGGGCCTACAGGAAGCTTTTTGCACATGATAATCCGTTTCGGGTTGAAAAAGTGGAGATTCCTGCTGGTCAAAGTAAGGAGGAGGTGGAGGTCGAGATCGCTAGGTTTGAACAGACATACTTGTTCACTGCGTTCGTGTTGGATGAAAAGAAGTGGGTGGTCAGGGTCATCTCTCAGACTAGGCAGCTAGATCAGGCAAAGAAGCTCCTTGAAGAGGCTCTGCAGAAGCTACCGATAGGCTCAGTTGGTGCTCCAGATGCTACAGCTGATCAAATAGCAATCAGCTTCTCTCATAACCGCACTCTCACTCTTAAAAAAGGGGACATAGTGAAAGAAAAAGCCAACATACTGGTCAATGCTGCTGATGGCAATCTGCTACATGGAGGTGGGTTGGCTGGAGCACTGAATGAGGCCAGTGAAAGGAAGCTGCAGTTACACTGCAACAAGTACATGAAGACAAAGCGGAAGGGGAAGGCGATACCAGCGGGGGAAGTAGCAGTGACCCACGCTGGGGGGAAACTGGCATGTGACCTAGTCATCCATGCTGTGGGTCCTGAAGGCTACAAACATTCAAAAACTCAATGTGAGCATCTGGTAAAGCAGGTGGTTCACAACACCCTCGAGGCAGCAGAAAAGTACAATGCCACTTCCATTGTCCTCCCAGCCATCAGCTGTGGGATCTACCGTGTCAGCAAGGATCTTGTGGCACAATGCATCATCGACACAATCCTGAGTTTCAAATACACTAAGCCTTCTCCAATCCTCTCTGACATTCGCATCGTCATCCTTGAGGGGCCTACCCACTCCTGCTTTGCACGCCACTTTGAAGAAAAACTGAAGAAACACCTGGGGCGAAGCACTCACGCTCACACCCACAAAATCCACCCAGGCAAGCCAGACATGAATGAAGAGGGGAAAACATTGCCTATTGAAGGTGAGTATATTGCAGAAGATATCTCGACACAACTTCCATTTTTTTTCTATACAGAAGTGGTGCTGTATCCAGATGACATGTCCTGGATCATGCCTCTGCTCAGACGTGCCGCTCCAAAGTGGAAGCTGATTCTGACAGAGATTGGCATACCAAATGACCAGATCATGAGTTTAATGAAGCGTAGAAAATATGGAGTTGTCCTTCTGGAGATGGGGGTGAGTAAATGGCTTAGGGAGCACCCACGTCCTGGAGCAACTCTGGCTGACCTGGTCAAAGCCTTGTGTGGCGTGGAAGTAGGGGAGGAAGAGGTGGCCTCTGAGATACTGAAGGGTAAGTCAATTAGATATTCTAAGTTTCTGTTGTGATTGCCATGTGTTTACAGTTTGTTTACAAAAGAGAAGTATGACCTCAGAAGAATCCTGCAGTGGCCTTCCAGATGTGAAGTACCCTACACTTCCTGACTCTTCCGCTGGAGCTACCAGCAACCCACATGGTTTGTAATGTAACCCCTTATCTGCCAAACTATCATATATACTGGATTATACAGATGCCAGGAAAGACAGCACTGACAAAAAAGGTTACACAGGTTTTTTGTTCCTAAAAAGTGGTTTTAATTCTGTCTATTGCAGAGTGTCCCATTTGCCTGGAGGAATACTTGTCACCAGTGAGCACCAAGTGTGACCACACTTTCTGCAAGCATTGCATACAAACGTCCCTGAAGAATGACCCCTACTGTCCTACATGTAGGGCTCCTCTACGTGCCATCACTGGCAAACAGCCACTTGGAGGGACCATGACACACGCGGTAGGTTCCTTACCTTGTTATGAGTTTTACTACAAACTGAAATTTTAGCTGCTAGATTGCCCTCTTCCTGGCTATGAGGAGTTTAAAACAATTCAAATCAACTACTACATTCCAAGTGGAACTCAAGGACCAGAACACCCCAATCCCGGTCATCCTTACCAGGGAACATCTAGGACTGCCTACTTGCCTTCAAGCTATAAGGGATTGGTTGTTTTAAAGGTAATGTCAGCATTATGACGAAATTGAGCTAATATGTATATGTACAATAGCTACTGCAGAAGGCATTCCAAGCCAGGATGATATTCACGATCGACACATCCGTTACTAGCGGAGCTAAGAATGTTGTGGTGTGGAATGATATTCACCACAAGACCAGCATGCATGGAGGGCCGTGAGTGCAGTTTTTACCCATAGATGGAAGTTTTATTGTCACCATAATCCGTAGGCAAAACTATGGATACCCTGACCCTACCTACTTGCAGAGAGTAACAGAAGACTTGGCTGCAAAGGGCATAGTGCCCGACTAAGAGACTAATTTTTGTTTGACAATTGCGAAAGTACAAGTATACAAATCCTCTAAGGCAAAGCTATCTAATCAACAGTATAGTATTGATCTAACTAAGCATAACAAAGTGTAAATTATTTGTAAGTAATCAGGTACTAGGGGTAGGCATCAGCATCAAAGAAGATGCTGGGGTTGGCGGTGTTGTCCACAACTGACTCAAAAAGCAGAGTGGGATCTTTGGGGTCTTTTGCAGGTGGTGTGATCATGGAACCACCACTAGTAGTGACAGCACACGTACTACGTACATATGTTTCTGCCCTTGTGCATCTGGTGAGGCATATCCATTGGAGTAGGAGCAGCCACTGGCCAGCTCTCGGGAGTTTGCAGAGAGGGTGGTGGGAGAGGGGAAGAGGGTGAGCATGGCACAGGTGCAGGGATACCTCATGTTCTACAAGTCTGAACCTCATGCAGCTCTGCAAAACTGTCAGGATATGTGGTCACTCTAGTGTTTTGTTACTACACGTGCTCAGGCAGGGTTCATTTGCGACTCGCCGCAAAGGGTGTTGTTGATCCGCTCTCTATGAGCCTCCAGAAACTGTAGCTACAACAAGTTTTCGTAGACCATTTCAAGGAACTGAAATTATTTCTTGATCAGCGACAGAAACGTACCACTGCCAGTGGTGGGTTTAGGGGTGTGGTTATGAACTCTCAAACTTTGGTTATTAAACCCTCAGCGCGCATGCGCAGCGAGGGTTACGGTAGTTGTCATGTCCCGTAAGTGTGTCAGTCTGTCTGTCTGTCTGTCTGTTACCACGTTTTCTGCCACCGCGCGCACGAAATCAGGTAAATAACGATATGATCGGGTTCAGTGCTACACTGGGTTGATTTTTAAAAAGGCGATTTTCGTAAAACTACTGTGTTTTAAAGTTATGGCGTGAAAACCAAGTGAACAAGCCAATATGTAAATTAGCACAGGCTTACCTCGACCGCGTCCGTTCGCTCTGTGTGTCTTGAAGGCACAACAAGTCACAACGAAGGGCATGTATCGACTCACGCATGCTATTTACTACTGTAGCTAGCCCGTGCCAGACTCTCCGCGAGCTATATACTAGCGGGATACCACGAGTAAAGGCATAAAAAAAACCAGCCCATCAATTAGTGGTACCGCACATGCGCAGTTCGCCGAGGGTTTGCACTTTCATTGATAGTCAGTGCAATGTCCATGATGCATGCAAATGTACCATGTGAAAAACAAATTTGCAGTGCAGTGTACAGAGTGTAGGGCAGTGTAAGCAGTGATATAGACACAAAAAGAAATCCAAGGGACAATAAAAAATTTAAAGTGGAATGTTTATTAGTCTTTATGTCCTGTGTAAGCTGCAAAGAAAAAGAGTGTTGTAAGTGAGTTTCACTGTAATAACTGGTATAACTATAGCAAACCTCTCCAAATCTGTATTTGTCCATTCCTGTGACCAACTGCCAGCAGTTGGCCGTCCTCTGAGTAAGCCAGTGCAGACGCTGCTGCAGGATACTAAAGGAGAACAGGAAAAAAAGATGGCTTTGTCGGTCAACACTGAACTATGAACTCTACCCACCTCATGGTGTGACTGGAGTGTGAAAATGGAGGTGTTGACTCAATGTCAACACCTGTACCTC